TTAAAATTCTGTCTTTATTATTAGCTTTATATTTTTACTTGTTTTATTGGGTTTATTTTATTATTTTCTCACTATTTCCTTGATTATAATAGTAATTGCACTTATTTTCCTAATATTTTGTTTAGCAATAAAAACATTTAATTCCTTGAATTTTGTGAGTAAGATGCTCACTGAATCCACAAATTTTAGCACAAGGGATTCACATTTTTGTAATTTCTAACTTATCTGTGATTTTACATTTGATTGTTTCTAAACTAAGTGTTCACAAAAATTATTTTTCTTTTATTTTTTAGTTATTAGATGGTTTGTTGACAGTTAATTACTAAATTCTTCATGGTTGATAAGAAAGCAGTTTACTAATTTTCTGGCTTAGAAATTCTTTTTTCTTGTTAGTCTTATTGCATAGCTGTTTTCTAATTTTAGAATGTATTAAAATCTTCTGAGTATTTGTTTCAAATAAAATTGCCAGAATTCTAATCCTAATACTGATGAAGCATGTCTCTAATGGAAACTAAGAAGTTGTATTTTTAATAAGTAGCCAAGTAATTCGGATGCAGGTGGTCTATAAATTGGTTTCAATGACATTGTAATAATTGTTCAATCTTTGTAATTGTTCCATAGTCACTGGCCAAAAATGGCTATTTCTTTAGTGAATGTGTCAACATAATGAAACAGTCTGATTTGTTATTTGCATCACCTGTAGCCTTTATCTCTATAGCATTTATAAAAATTGTATATGAACATATTACTTAGTTTCCTGTGGTTTTGTGAAACACATCTGACCATATGTTCTGGCAGGTAATGCATGAAAATTACTAAAATTCATTTGAATGTATATGTTTATATCTACACTCCTTATTTGGATATACAATGTATACACACACACACACACACACACACACACACACGTAATGTCGTCACACTCTCACCACATTGCTTATCATATCTTTGGAGTAAGTTTTGAAATCAGGGAGTGTAAGACAACTTTGTCCCTTTTAATGACCACATTGACTATTTGATGTTCTGTGAGATCCCATCTGGATTCTATTTTATTTTATCTTGTGAATGTAACCTATTTTTTAATCAATTTACTTCTTTTTTGCCTTTTTAAAGGCTTATTTATCTATGCATACAAGAATTGGGGTATAGGCCAGAGGTGGGGGGGGAGTAAGAGGATTCACCAGAGACAGAGTGGGGAGCAGAACAGGCAGATGGACAGAAATACACTGCTGGGAGGTGCAGGGGTGAGACAGGAGAGGTCTGCTGCACCCTGTGGTTCACCTCCCTGGCTGGGGATCGAACTCATGCTCAAGCTGCTGTGGATAAGTCGTAGAGCTTCTGGGAGCTCTGCAGCCAGCAGCTGCCCTGCCCCTGTGTGTTACAGTGTTGCCCCTTGGAATTCTCATTCCCAGCACTGCCTCCCATACAGCCCATGTGTGGCAATTACTATGTGTTGTTGTCATCTGGGCTGCATACCTGACTGAACAGGTTAAAACCTCTGTACTTGTTAACTGATTCCATAGACTATGAAGATCGGCTCCCCCCACCACGCTCTGCCCCCCCGCTCCCCCAACACACACACAGGCTTTTGAATGACAAAAATCAAGTCCAGTAAGTAAGCTCCTTCCTTCAATCAAAGTGCTACCTGCCCATGGGTACTGTGATTTTTGGGTCTCTTCCTGCCCTGTGTTTATGGAGGGGCCCGGAGTAGATTAGGTATTGGGAATTCTTTTGTTGTTGACCTCTACAGCCAGTACCAGGAAATAGCCATTGACTAAAGATCTGATATAATAAAAGTCTCTTTCCAAACAGCTTTTATTCAATGAGTTGAAATTTGGGTGTATAATACAAGACATTATTAAGCCAGTGAATTATGCCTACAATCAATAACATGTATTCCCTCCCAGCTTTTTGACAATTCCTTGAAGCTATTATTGGTATTCACAATTGTTGCACTGGGCAACACCACACTGATACAGAAACGGGAGTCTGGAGCAGGCTACATAATGCAGGATGCTGTAAAGAGCAAGATCCTGGCCTTTGCATTGGTAAACCAGTCATACAGCATTAGTCTTATGAGGAAGCAGAAAAGGAGAGGGAGGTAGAAGCAGCAGGGGAAGGGTGGAACTGTACTTCTCATCTGCTGATGGCCTTTAAACCACACGGATCTGTAACTGGGTAATTCTATTCCTACTGAGGGTACAGACCCAAGGCCCTGCGTTACAAGGACACGCATCCTACTTTTTATTACAGCAAATACCAAAAGCATCCAAATCTCTGACAATTTGTTTTCAATAAATAAATCTCCTAGCATGTCAGTGACCCTGCTAAATCTTCTAACCACTCAAATAGCCTGTAAGTAGTATTATCCCCAAGGAGAAAAGTCACATGCATAGGGATTGAGTAATTTGCCCAGGGTTGAATTTAGACCTTTAAGGAGTAACAGAGCTGAACTCGGGCCACCTAGTCCCAGAACCCACACTTAGTCATGGAACCCTGAGTGACAGCTGACAGTCAGGGTGGCCACTAGGCTGCTGGGCTGAGCACCTGACAGGGGTGACCGGATCACCTTTCCATTGCCACTAGGAAGGGGAGGAGCCATGGTGCCTGGTTGTCTCTTTCAGAGGTAGCTGAATGGAGGTTTTTCTTAGTAACAGGAATATTTTATCCCAGTTTGTCTTCACCTCCTCATCCTCCTTCACCTTTGTTCTTGCTGACAGATAATTATCCTCTGTTGTGTTTTGGCAAGTCAGTTCAGGCTGATCAAGCAGAGTCCCAGAGCCTGCAGTGGACATTTCCCGCTTTAACGCTCTTTCCACGCCAATTATTGTGGCCTAGGCCGCAGGCTAGCAGGACGCCCCGCCCAGGGTGAATCTTTACCCGTCCTCTCTGACCTTTTTTCGTGGTCGCTTTCTTTCTTTCTTCAAAGAAAGTGGCTAGTTTTTTTTTTTTTTTAAAGATTTATTTATTTATGCATACGGAACTGGGGTACAGGCCAGAGGTGCAGGGGCAGTGAGAGGACTCATCAGAGACAGAGCGGGGAGCAGAACAGGCCGATCGACGAAGTACACTGCTGAGGGGAGCAGCGGGCGGCTCAGGAGAGGTCTGCCGCGCCATGTGGGTCACCGCTGGGGATGGGGATCGAACTCTCATTGGGGCGGCTACAGTGAGCTTTCAGTGCTGTCTCCTAACCCGCTGCGCCACCAGCGAGGGCCCGTGGTCGCTTTCACTCATATTTGCCATTTGTCCTTTCCTAGCCGTGTGCTATAGCTGTTTTTGCCCCTCAGCCTCCAGGCTCAGGTGTGCCCATTCTCGCAGGCCCACAGCACCTTCCAGGGGTCCACCACCAGGCACACGTGCCCCGCGCCCGCGTTCCCAAGCGCCTGCTGCACCAGCACAGTCAAACCAGATGGCACCTTGCCATAGGCTCGCCTTTGTTCTATTTAATTACTTTTCATTATTTTTCCTGGGGAGGGCAGAGTCCCCCTCAATGCAGCTCAGGCGCTCACTTGCCCTGCCGCTGTCTCCGTGGAGAAAATATGCTGCAGCTCCTCCCTGCACTTTAAAAATGTCCCCATTCGGAATATTGGGATAAAGAAAATAAATATATACATATACATATATATAGTTGTCTCTCTCCCATTTCCTACAGTTGATAAAATTCCATTAAAACGTGCCCTTCTGATAAACACATGCCTTTTGCAGCAACATGGATGGAGCTGGAAGGAATCATGCTTGTGAAATAAGCCAGAAAGAAAAAGAAAAATCCCGGATGGTTTCACTCATAGCAAGAGAATAAAGTGCCAGGAAAGGGGGGTGGGTGGGTGGAAAGAACAACTATATACCAGAGACATTTTACTGGGGTGGAGATCAAAAACGGTAGGTGCAGGGAAGTGCCCTGGACTATGGTGATGGCACACGGGTGATTTGGTGATGGAAAGCCCAAGGGGGTTACAACTGAGATGGACAAAGGCACAAATGTTGTAAAAATAAACTATTATATATATATTAAAAAATGCTGCCATTGGGGGCATTTCTGGCCCATAACCTATGAACCTGAATGCCGACAAGGTCATTAAGAAGATATTTTATGTGTGCACACACATATGGAGGGAATTTATATATAAAATTGTAATATATTTAAAGTACATCCTGATGACTTGATTTAGAGATATACATTATAAAGATTTCCCGGTATTGACTAACAGATCCATCACCATATATATTATGCACAAATATGTATACATTTATATATTTGCATCATATATATAATATTGCTAACAATATTTAAGTACTCTCAAACCAAGTTCCCATGGTTACCATTAGATTCTCGGCGTTTATTCTACCTTCAGCAGAAAGTGGGTGACTTTTGATCAGCTTCTCCCTATTTCTCTAACCCGTGGCAACCATCTTTCTACGAGCTTGACTTTTTTTTTTAAGATTCCTCCTAAAAGTGGTATCACGCAGTATTTGTCTCACACCCTGATTTATTTCCATTATTTCCAGCAGTTCTCCGAGTTTAAAGCAACTGCGCCCTCTGCTGTCAATCAAGGAAATTTACCACGACAACCTCTTCAGTTTTGTATTGGGGATCTTATCCTTAAACCCAGCGACCCAGACGTAGGGATTTGGGGAGTCACTGATACTTAGATAGTAAGGAAGGGAGGCCTACCATGAAAAATTAATCGTGTTAATTATTTATTCGTGAGGCATAGTCTAAGGACTGGGGATACAGGAGTGGGCTAATGGACAAAAACCCTGCTTTGATTTTTGAAAACAATAAAAAAAAAAAATCTAATCCATGTTTGATAGCCTAAGTGCCAAGGGAATAAGCAGCAGCAGGGAAGAGAGATGTAAATGACTAGAGTGTTTATGTGTGTGTAGCCAGGATTGGGGGGCTCAGAGTCTCATTGAAGAGGGGATTTGGCGACACGTGGCAGTGAGGAAGGAGCCATAATGATTCCAGGATGAGGGAGGGCCCCCCCCCCCTGCACCCGCAGAGTCTGAGAGGAAAGGCTGAAGGATGTGGAGCAATCTAGGTGCGAGAGTCGGGTCAGGAAGCAGGAGCGGTGGGATGCAGGTAAAGTAAGCTGACTTGGCAGGAAGCGCAGAGGCGAGGGAGGGTCGCTGGTTCTCATTAGCTGGTGGCTAAAAAAATAACCCAAAATCTTTGTCTGCTTCTTATTAATACTACAAAATAGATTTTCTAAACACTGTTGATGTTTTTTCTCAACATGTTAAAATAGCTTTCTAGAGTCATTTTTATTTGCACTATGAATTCATTATCAAAAAGTAAATACTCCAGCTTTGAATCAGCCACACACTTCCATATAATTTTCAATGCTCTAATTTTTTCATGCAAATTAATGCCAGTAGTTCATTACACATCATTATTTTTTGAAATATGCACTTTAATAGAAATTCACTGAATAGTGTAAAAGCAATATTGAAAAGGGCCAAGTTTTTAAATGATTTTGTGCATTTTTTAGATGTTAACAGGCAACACTCAATACGAACAATCCAAGACACTAAGTCTGTAACGCTGAAGAATATTTAGATATAAATTGCATTAAAGTATCAGGTTGAAGGCTTTCAGATCAGAAAATTAATTTGGGTTTTTGAGGATTTTTTTGTAAATTATTTAATAAAAATTATTGATAATTTTGTAAGTTATTCAGAGCCAAATGTGACTCCCCACTTTCCTTGTGAAATTCTAAATCTCTTCAAAATTGAAAGCAAATATCTCTTTTACATTTTCTTATTTCTACCTCATTGTTGGTGTTTTCACTAATTTATGGATTTTCTGATTCTTGTCTTATATTAAAGTACCCTATGTTGCATTAGGAAAAGAATCTGACATGTGCAGGCACTCATAAAATACATTCATTGAATGATAACTACTTAGATTATTTCTGGAGCTTTCTATGAAAAGCAGCCAAGACATTTAGATGCAGACAGTCTAGTATTTCAGGTGAGGAGGCCAGTACAAATAAGTGAAAAAGAATCTGGCCTGGATTTGCATGCTAGCATATTTGACTTTAACCTTTTAATCACTGCCATGAATGGAAAACTGTAATCAGCGCCAATGATACCTGGACACAAGCTGTTTGGTTTGGAAATTAGTTGCTGTCTCAAAGAAGTAATTGTATTTTCTTAAATGTATATAAAACTCTATACTTTAGTAGAGCTTTCTGAATTAAGAGCAGGATTACAATAAGAGCTGAAGAATTTCCTTAAGTATATCAGAGACTATACCTACCCATCTGTGCTGGAGGTGCTGCTTAAATTAGAACTGGATTCAAAGCAATGAAGAGAGTGTCAGAAGTGGATGCTATTCTGCAACCATTTGATTATATACTTATCACAGAGATCTAGGATGAGAAGTGTGGAACATTCCCTGCAGAAATGTTTGAAGGTCTGAATGAAGTCTTTCTGATACTGTCAATAGTGGAGGGGCTCATTGGAATACTGGGGAATGTGTTCATTGGAGTCGTCAACTGCTATGAATGGGTCAAGGACCACAAGATCTCCCTGGCTGACTTCATCCTCACCTGCTTGGCTCTCTCCAGAATCATTCAACTGCTGGTATATTTGCTTGAGTCTTTTCTAATGGGACCAGCTGGGTATAGGTACCTCACATATGAACTAACAAGGCTTTTTAGCTTGCTCTGGAGAGTAACTAATCACTTGACTACCTGGCTGGCTACCTGTCTAAGCATTTTCTACTTCCTGAAGATCGCTAAGTTCTCCCACTCTTTTTTCCTTTGGCTGAAGTGGAGAATGAATAAAGTGGTTCTTATGATTTTTATCTCTTCTTCCGCTATTCTGATTTTTGACTTTCTTTTGCTAGAAAGTTTTTTCTATAATGAATTTTTGGGAAGGAATCTGACTTCGTATTCAAATGACAGAAAAATTGTCAATGTTAACATTCTGATTGTTCTTAGCATGACCTATGTTATCCCCTTCCTCCTGTCCCTGACCTCCTTGGTCCTTTTATTTCTGTCCCTGCTGAGTCACACCAGGAATCTACAGCGCAACTGCATGACTTCCCGGGACTCCAGCACCCAGGCCCATAAAAGGGCCATGACAGTGATACTGTCTTTCCTCCTCCTCTTTATGGTTCATTTTATTTCCATGCAATCGGCAAATTGGTTGTTTTCTATGTTCTGGAGCAACATGTTTACAAGGTTTCTCATGTTACTAATATATGTCTTTCCCACTGGCCACTCGTTTATTTTGATTCTGGGAAACAAGAAGCTCAGACAGACAGTTCAGAAAGTACTGTGTTACCTTAAAACCTTATTGAAGAGAAAATCTGTCAGCTTTACAGATAGACTTTCCAGAGTCTTTTCAAAGACTTAATGAGATTTTGAGACCCAATTTTCTCGTCTCCCTGACGTCCACCCCCCCATACTTTTCTTTAGTCATTGTTGAGCATAACTGGAATTTTCCTTAGAACAGGTTGCCTTGGATGATAAGTCGCACATAGTCAGCCAGTGTCATTTTAAAAGAAGTTATTTTTTTTTAAACATTGGCTACTACTTTTTTGAAGTCTCAAATATTCTTTCAAAGAGAGTCAAAATTAGCATTTTATATGTGAAAGACATAAGCAACTGCAGCTCATGTAGGGGAGAAAAGCCTGTAGTTCTTGAAACATCAAGACAAATGACAAGATCGACAGGGTACAAGACCTATAAAATATTGATAGTGAAATTAATTAAACAACTAAGGTTACTAAGGTTACAGGTAGGAAAAACATAACCTCAGATCTTAACAGTCCAAAGTATTTTGAATGCTAAAGTACCATGCCATTGCCATCAGAAGTCTCGTTGATAATAGGACAGGAGATATTGAGAACACAAAATGCAACAGATCATCTTAAAGTAGAAACTAGAAGATGTGTTTACAACACTTATCTAAACCTAAGTCATATTTTTGTTGTATGCAGGTATTAATTTTGCTAAATACCAAGATATGCAAAATGAATTTTCAGAGTGGCAGAATTTTTACTTCCACCGCATGATGTAATAGAATTAAAAGTTTCCTTTAGGCCCTCCCTGGTGGCGCAGCGGGTTAAAGCACAGCACTGAGAATATAAAGCCGCTTCCACATGAGTTCGATTCCCGCCTGCCCCGGAGGTGACCACATGG